AAAGTGGTAATACCATCGGATGAGAACTTGGTGAAAGAAGAATGTTGCGATTCGTGTATGAAGGGCAAGATGACTCGAAAAAGCTTTAAACATCACTTCGATCCAACTTCCGCTGCACTTGAAGTTGTACACGGTGATTTAGTCGGACCGATTACGCCTTCATCCAACGGTGGTGCTCGATATTTTCTGACGCTTGTTGATCAACATACTGGTTACATCAATATCACCATCTTAAAGGAAAAAAGTGATGCACCGGACGCCATCAATAAGTTCAAAATTTTCTACGAAAATCAAACCGGAAACCGTATGAAGAAGTTAATAACAGACGGTGGTGGTGAATTTTGTAACAAGAATTTATCTAGCTTGCTGGAAGCTGCAGGAGTTCAACACAACGTGTCGCCGCCTTATACGCCTCAGCAAAACGGTGTTGCTGAACGAGCAAACAGAACTATTCTAGACATGACTCGATGTATTCTCCTTCACTCGAACTTAGCACCAGAATGGTGGGCAGAAGCTGTTAAAACCTCATGCGCCATCACCAACTGCCTACCTTCTCTTTCTAGAAGTCGTACTTCCCCTATCGAACTCTTATTCAAAAAGAAGCCGAACATCAAAATTTTTCGTCCATTTGGTTGTAAAGTTTGGTCTCTAAAACCTGAAGTTCATCATGATCGAAAATTTGATTCGTTGGCTTGGGAAGGTGTTTTAATTGGTTACGCGAACGACTACTCTACGTACAAAGTTGTTCGACTTGATAACCTTCAAATTATCAACGTCAAGCACGCTCATTTTGAAGAAACCGTTTTTCCATCTTGTCCAGCCTTACGAAAGAGCATCAGTAACTTAGATACATCAAATAATCTTCCGACCTTCGAAAAACTTTCAACCTTACCGTTCGAGGAAGATTCTCTGCCGACGGAAGAAGAAGAAAACATTCATTCACAAGAATTGTTTGAAGAAGAAGTTATCTCGGAGAAGCAGTTTGATGATGATAGTAATCAAGATTCAAGCAAAATTATTTCTAGTAATATTGACGAATCAAATATTCTTAATTACTCAAGACGAACTGCTCTGATTTCTTTAGCACCGAAGACCCATCATCAAGCAATGAAAGGTGAAGAAACTGAGGAATGGAAGCAAGCGGAGAAAAAGGAGTACGAGAATATGGATTCTCATAAAGCGTGGCTTGTACGAAAAAGAAAAGAAGAAGACACGCCGATTCCTTTGACATGGGCTTTTCGTAAAAAGCTGGGTTCTAATAACGAAGTGACCGAGTTTAAAGCGCGTATATGTGTTCAAGGCTTTCGACAATCCTTTGGACTCGATTACTTCGCTAAATACGCACCAACAGGAAAACCATGCTCTTTACGACTGCTTATCTCTTTCGCCGTTAATAATGACCTGAAAATTCATCAACTTGATGTTCGAAGTGCTTTCCTCACTTGTCCTCTAGAAGATAAGGTCACGGTGCTTCCACCGCCAGGCTATAGTGGAGAAGAAGATACAGTCTTTGAACTACGCAAGGCAGTTTATGGATTACGACAAGCACCACTCGTCTGGTATAAACGATTGTCAAATTTCTTAAAATCGATTGATTTTAATATCTCTGTATCGGATCCTTGTGTTTTCTGGCGAACTCAACAATCAGGACGACCAATGACGTGGATCTATGCTCATGTCGACGACCTTGTCATTATTAGTTCTGATCCTTTGGTTTTTAAAGAAGAAATAGAAAAAGAATTCGCCATTAAATATCTAGGAGATGCCGAATTTCTTCTTGGAATGAATATAACTAGATTTGAAGGATCGGTGAAGATAAATCAGTTACAGTACATTGAAAGGAAACTAATTCAATTCAACTTACAAGACGCTTATCCCGCATCGTGTCCACTCAGTCCACGAATTCAGTTTGATAAAGCTACTAAAGAAGATCAAGAAGCTTTGAAGCATCTCGATTTGAATTATCGATCAATAGTGGGTTCTTTAAACTATCTTAGTATTCTTACACGACCGGACATTTCATACGCTGTTAGTGCTCTATCGCAATTCTTGGAGAATCCAGGATTATCACACTATCAAGCGGCCGAGCAAGTGTTTCGATATATCTCTGGCACTCGTGAAATAGGACTTCTATATCAAAAACAAGAAGATTCAAGTTTAAAAGCCTACGTTGACGCGGATTGGGGGAACTGTCTAATTACTCGTCGATCAGTCACAGGATACGTCGCGATGGTCGGTAATCACTTGCTTTCTTGGAAATCGAACAAGCAAGATACTGTCTCTTTATCCTCTGCCGAAGCAGAGTATAAATCATTATCTGACTTAAGTAGGGAGATGGTCTGGATAACCAGTTTGGTGAATGAAACTCAAGTCTTAAAGAGTCCTTCAAAGATTAAAGTCTATGTGGATAATAAAGCAGCAATCGACTTAGCAAACAGTGAAACTGCTCAAAACGGCTTTCGAACAAAGCACATGAACATTCGACTACACTTTGTTCGTGAACATGTTCAATCCAACTTGCTCAACCTGGTATACATTAAATCCAATGAAAATCCAGCCGACTTTCTTACTAAAGCCGTGGGACGATGTACAATCAGAAGATCGTTAAAGGAATTAGGCATCGCTTATCAATCCCAATCAAAGACTGCTTCGAATCTTGCGACACGAAGCACGGAGGACTGTTGGAATTCAATTCCTTGTCTAATCCCTCAAAAGAGGAGAGCATCAGGTAAGTTTATCATATAATTGATTAACTTCCTGAAGAAACAAATAAATCATCGCGCTGATCACGAAACGTGTGATCATTCGCAGAATTAGGCTGTTCGACAAAAGAGCAAGAGATTAATGAAGTTGTAACCTGTGCAACGAGTAGTGACGTCAATGACGTCACAGGCATTGATAAGAATGTTGATCATGATCAATCACCGAGCTCTAGGTGAGTCTCGAGAGATTGAATCAAAGGATAAAGAATTAGAATAAGATATTATCAAGTTCTAATCCTTTAACAATCATAAATTATCTTATCAAACAACAGCCTACACTCGCACAAGACTTCTCAACGCAAACTCATTACGCGTATATTTCCACCAATAGCCGGTGAGTAAAAGAAAAGATTTAATTGCCTTTTTCTCAAGTGAGAAAAAGAGAAAGATAACTGACATAGTACTTTGTACTCGATGGTCTTATGTTAGACTTATCGAACAAGTAGTACTACACAGTTATCAATTTAAAGAAGAAAGATTTTCTTATCGATTAAAGTAAAGTCATTTCATTACTTTCAAGATAAAGAGAAATAATACATTCTATGACATTAGGCTAACAACGTGTTGCTTCTCTGATAATCTATTTTAGTCATTTAACTATTATCTGATTAACTTATCCGAAGCCTTTCCATTTATCCTTGTCACTGAGCCTTAGCATTAAAATTATTAGATCAGTTCTGCCTTCAGGTACTGATCAAATTTCTCTTTATCATTATGTTTACTCATAATCACTTGTATTTCTTTATTAAGATTATAAAACTTACAAAGAAATAAAATTCTTCAGTTCCAATTTCTTTTAGAGTTGTGTAAAGTAATTGGATAAAGTAAGACTCAAAAGTGGTTGTGCAAACCTTTTGCTGAATTGAGAAGGGGAAAAATGGAGGTGCAAACTCTGCCCTTCTATACTATTGGAAACAAGACCCCCAAGCTTAGCTTGGAAAGTTTTAATAACGTGATAGGATTGGTTGGTTCCGGTATAAACTTTGTTTTATGAAAAGTAAAGGTTGAATATATAATTGCTTTATAAAAGAAACTGTTATGTTGTGTGATAGGTGAAAGGCTTATGTAATTGTTTTTAACTGGTGAGTTGTATATTGATTGACTGCTGAGTGAATGAGTGAGGAGACAACAAATGGGGGGAAGAGAGCCTCCTTTTATAGACAAATGTGAGGGAATTTAGCTCCAGGGCAGACAAGAAAGAGTGATTTTAGCTGGCCTGTAGGTACAAATGAGTGAATTTAGCTAGTCTGATCATGCAAGTGAGGGAAATTAACCAGTGAGGCTGTGTACAATTAATGTCAAAGGCTGTGCTGCAGTGCGTAAATAATGTGAGAAAGTGTCAAATGAGGCAATAAATTGTGGGAAAAATCCAGCCATTGTCATAAGTGAGGTGAGAAAATTAATGAACTGTGGGAAAAGTAATTCAATCAAGACTGCGCAGCCTGCAAAGGCAGTGCATGAGGTGACAAATAAAACCAAACTAATATATGCGGTGGAGATAAAGAGGTGTGGGAAATTATGTGTATACCGTGAGCTGTGTATATCCCTATCATGTTATTAAAACTTTCCAAGCTAAGCTTGGGGGTCTTGTTTCTGATAGTATAGAAGGGCAGAGTTTGCACCTCCATTTTTCCCCTTTTCAATCCAGCAAAAGGGTTTCACAACCACTTTTGAGTCTTACACTGAGAGAGTGTTGGTAGAGGACAAGAATTGTGAAAAATAGATGGAATAGAAACAAAAGAATGGAAAAATACAGAAGAAGGGTGTTGGCATAGAAGAATAAGCCAAAACAAGTTGAGGAAGAGAATTGATGTCTCTTCGACCGCCATTGCCTTGTTGCAATACTTGTTTGGCGGGGGTGTTTGTGGTTTAACATTAAACAGTTGAATTATGGGTCACTCAAAAAAGGAAAATAATCAAATCATACATTTTTGGTTACTAACCTTCATTGTTGCCCAAAAATTCCATACATTTCAGGTGAGTAACATTTTGCCCAAAAATACTCATTCACACATTTTTGGTAAGTATCATTTTGGGTTTTTGCCAAAAAAAAAAATCATACATTTTGGTTACTGACATCTAAAGGGGGTTTCCTGGGCCCATGCAGAGCTAATCCGCTGGGTACCTAGTGCCGGAGCTCGATCGGCCTGGATTATGCTGCGGATGGGCTGATTCTGATCCGGGGTGCCGGATCGCATCCTCAGATCGACATTTCCTCTGACCTCATCTTCGACAATCGGAAGTTTTCCTGCATTTTCAGCCCCAACCAATCACCATCCTCCCCTGATCGCTATCAACTCCCTTCCTTCTCGAGAATGGCCGACCCGAATGGCTTGGTAGAAACCGGACAAAGCAATCCATTGGATGTCATCTTGGCCACAGGTGGATATGATAATACGATCAGATTTTGGGAAGCTTGGTCTGGTATCTGTGTTAAAAGTATTAATCATCCTCAAAGTGTAAGTAATCTTTTCCTCCTTTTTTAATTAATAAAAAACAAATACAAAATACAAAATACAAAGTCTTCTCAATTTCAATATCACATTCCTCACAGTTCTTCGGATCAACCGTTAGGTTTGTCCAACATCGAAATCACCATCAATTTTTCTTGAAAAAAAAAGAAAGAGGATAATGATGATGACGATAAACTGACGAATTCACTTTGACTTTTCTAGCAAATCAATCGTCTAGCCATTTCTCCTGATAAACGGCATCTAGCAGTTGCCGGAAACGCACACGTTCGACTATACGATGTGGCTATCGCCACGGCTTCCAATCATCCTGCACCGAATCAAGGCGGCTCACATGCCACATCAACCAACGATCAAACCCCACAACACCAACAACAAGCACATGCTCAAACCGGATTGGTCAGTTTGATTCTCCAAGAAAATCGCAACGCTCTACAATGACCTGATATTTCTTTCTTTCTTCTTTGCCTCCCTACAAAAAAACACACAGCTTCAAAGCTTCCCTCATAACGGGAACGTTACCAGTGTGGCATGGCCAAAAGAAAGCAAATGGTTTGTCACTGGATGTGAGGATGGAGCGATGCGAATATGGGACACTCGGTAAGAGCAACTCAACAAGAACTCGATCATCCGACAAGACGAATATTGAATCCGTTCCCTAAACTTCTGCTCAGGACCCCCGTTGCACAACGTACAGTTGAGTTAACTACTCCTTTTGTTTCTTGTCTTCTATTTGCTCACATTTCCATTTTGACTTCGATTTACAAGTACGACCACAAATGTGCGGTGAATGGTAAAGCCCCCAATCCACACAAAACATTCTCGAATGAATCTTTCACTGAAACAGACTAGAGGACTCTAATATAACCGTCTACTGATCCGTACCTATATCAGATATCGCAATCCATCCAAACCAAGGTGAAATCATCTCGTGCGATCAATCTGGGGCTATCAAGATCTGGGACTTAGCTGCAGACTCATGCACTCACGAATTAGTTTCGTCAGATTCTTCTTTCACTTCACTTCTGTGTGCCTCTCTCTAAGTTTTTTTTTTTTTCGGCTGCTTCGATCAGTTCCCAGAAGATGATGTACCTCAAAGAAGTGTCAGCATTGCAAGTGACAACAGCTGTCTAGTTGCGGGAAACAATTCGGTAAGACTTTTTTCTTTTCTGTTTTGGTTTGGACAATAGTAAGAAGAACGTAACCCAACTGTGAATTTCTTCAAACAACAGGGTAATGTATTTCTCTGGAACATCTCCACATCAGGAGTTGGAGGATACACGGATCTCCAAGCAGAAGCAACATTCGAAGCGCACAAACGATACTGTCTGAAAGTTCTATTAAGTCCAGATGTTAGGTAAGCATAAAAACGATGTATTCTTTTCTTAAGATTTAAGATCACCCGAGCCGAGCATTTTTTGGTCTGATGAACCGGAGAATACGAATTGATGTTGGATGATATATGTGTAGACTTCTAGCGACATGTTCAGCAGATACGACGATCAAGATATGGTCATTGACGCCGAACCAGCCTCCGAAGCTTGACAAGACGCTATACGATCACCAGCGATGGGTCTGGGACCTGGCCTTCTCGGCCGATTCGGCCTATCTGGTCTCTGCATCCTCCGACCATTCCGCACGCCTTTGGGAACTCGCCTCCGGCCAGACCGTTCGACAGTACTCGGGACACTCCAAGCCTTGCGTCGCGGTTGCTTTAAATGATAGTTGAGTTCCCTCCCATCCTTACCATCGTTGTTTTTTTTTTTCATTCGTCGCCTTCTTCTACTCCTATTTTGAACGGGTTTCTTTTTCCGTCCCTTATACCCCTCACACAGTCAACGTCGTCTGAAACTTCAAACATCGACGTTCAATAATTGAATGAATGTAGTATACCAAAGAGGTTGTAAATTATACCGTAGCAATAGGCACAAATCAATATCCCATCATGCTTAGGTTAAAAAGGGTTGCGAAGAAAAGCGGGAATGCAGATTTATTGAAACTTTTTAATCCCTCACTTGATTACAAGTAAGGGGGAGAGCTCGATTGTGCCCACCGATCAGTGTAACCAAACTAAGGGCATTCGAATTTGCCGGGTTAAATTGCCGAATTCTGGCGACTTGACTCGCCGGGCAACCACATCTGCCCCAGGCTTAGTTCTCGGTACAAAATAAACCAAAAAGATAGATGTTGGGCTTCTCAATTTAGTGGCCACAAGCGGCCACTCGCCTGGCAGGTGGTTTAGAACATTTCGTGCTGTGCTCCTCCGTTCACGCGGCTAAAGCCGACCCAACCCGTTGTGGTTGTCTGTGGTTCTAAAAAGGAAAGCACAAGCAAGACCTAGCGACATGCACTATCGGGGCACTTGGGTAAGGTCAGAGTCCAGACAGAATGTTTACTGTGTGCAGCAGGTGGAGACAAGCCAGTGTATGGGTTGCATGCCCGATTGCAAAGGTACTAACTACAGACTCTAACTTCATTATTGGTAAGAGATACACATTTTTCACTGTTTGATTTAAGGTATTGTTGGTTCGCGTTACTCAGGGGCTTTTGGGGGATTCGACATCCCAAGCAAATATACATTTAAAAACATGGATTCAAATGAAAAGAGACAGAAAAAAATACAAATGAGAAGGGGGGAGACATTGGGGTTTCAACATGAATCAAACACAAGACGACGATCCTGTTTGGGAGACCGGGGTCGATAATAAAATATCATTATTGAAAAAATGCCAAGTCGATATAAGAGGGATGATACGAGGATGATCAACCATGTTTCCAGAAGGCGATATCACCGTCCTGCATCTCATAAGGTTTGCCTTGTTGTCGATATTTCCCAGCCGCTTTGACCGCAACTTCAGAACCATGTTCTTTGAGGTCGCCGTAGGTCATGATCTGCGATCAAAGAAATGAAACAAACATGTGAGCTTCCAATGGGGAACACAATAACTACTGCGATATAATATAAATCAAACTTACTTCACCACATACAAACTTGTTCTCAAAGTCGGAATGGATGACCCCGGCAGCTTGAGGAGCTTTGGTTCCTTTTCGGATAGTCCAAGCTCTCACTTCGGTGGGACCGGTGGTGAAGTAGCGAATGAGATGCAAACTAGCATAACCAGCGGTGGTGATTTTACCGAGGGCTGAGGTCGTTCCGATCTTGGCCAGTTCCTCTTTACGAGCGGGCACTTCATCATCCACCCCGAGCTGGAGTAATCGCTCTTCGAGTGCCACCGAAAATGGGATCAACAGATCACCTGGATTGTTGGCATCGATCCACGCCTTGATCTTCGGAAGCCACTTGTTCTTCTTCCGGATGTAATCGGTCTCTGACAAGTTTATCAGATAGGTCACCGGCTTGGCAGTCAAGAGCTGAAGCGTGTTGATCACATCGATCTGAAGGGGGTGAAAAAAATGAATTCACTGTTAGCAACCTGAGGTGTTCTGTGGTTTCGAATGAGCCAAGAATCGGAAGTATCAAGGTGTTATAATCATCAGATTTATACTGTTCATCTCTTGCGTGACAAAGATTGCCACTCGACGAGCTGGGTTATAGATTGTATCGGGCGTTCAAATACGTGATAGCCGCCCTTGTTCATCATGTAATGGTATGGAGACTGCTGGTTGAATGCAGTAGGATAGGGGAGGAAGCCGAGATTTGATCGGTAGTAAGCGACTTGCCTCTTTGTTATTCCAGTCTCCCTTTCGTACATCACGTCCCTCATCCTTCAACCATGCCAGGACCTTGCCGGTGATGTCGATCTCCTCCTTCTTGGCTTTATCAGCCAGGTTAGCAGTCCCGGTACCACGGAAGCTCTTCTTGATCGTTTCGTAATGTTTCTCGACCCATTCGATATCCTTGAGTTTAAGCTCGGTATGAATGATCTCCATATCCCGAATCGGATCTACATCTCCCTCCACATGGATCACCTCGGCATCATCAAAGGCACGGACGACTTGGAAGATTCCATCGACCGCACGGACGTGGGACAAGAATGCATTCCCGAGTCCAGCACCCGTGGAAGCACCAGCAGTGAGACCAGCAATGTCGATACAGGTGAGGAAGGCGGGGATCTTGTTGGTGGGCTTGTATACACTACATAGCCAGTCGAACCGTTCATCTGGTACTGGTACCCGAGCCTCCTCAGGATCGATGGTAGCACTGATTAAGCAGCTTGGGCATCAGACCAAGAAACTGAAACCGCACGGTTGAATTGACAGCGCGGATGGGTCAAACTTTGGGATGCGCTCATGCTGAGTCAATCGTCAACTTACTAGGGGAGAATTGGCGCTTTTA